GTTAAACATCATGTTATTTTCTGATGCCCAGTCGAAAACTTTATTAATATCAGCTTGAAGTTTTTCAATGTCTTCAGCCGAGATAATTTTCATACTGATTTTTGTGTCATCTGCAAAGGATGATACGAAGCTGTGACGTGTATTTTTGTCTATATCTGATATGAGAATAAGGAACAGCAGCGGTGCAAGGACTGTACCTTGAGGTACAGAGCTTTTAACTGCCCTTGGACTAGATTTTATATGGTTGACCGTTACTCGCCGAGTCCTGTTTGACAGAAAACTGAGTATCCAGCGTCCTACTTTACCGGTTATTCCCATTGACTTCATTTTGTGTGCTATCACGCCATGGTCACATCTATCGAATGCCTTTGCGAAATCCGTGTATACCACATCTGCATTCTGTTTTTCTTCTAATGCCTCAGTGACTTTGTCGTAGTGTTCAAGTAGCTGTGAGAGGCACGATCTTCCCGCTCGAAATCCATGTTGGCCTGGGTTGTGAAGGTCATTGGTCTCCTTGAAATTGGTGACCTGACTCCTAATCATTCTCAAATACTTTTATTATGTGCGATGTTAGTGCAACTGGTCTATAATTCTTTGCCAATGCTTTGCTCCCTCCCTTGTGTAGAGGGGCTATGTCTGCTGCTTTAAGTGCATCTGGTATCTCCCCCGTGTCCAAGCTCTTCCTCCACACTATACTGAGTGCCTGTGCTACCGGCACTTTGCATTTCTTTATAAATATTGAATTCCATGAGTCTGGACCCGGGCCGAGTGCATGGGCATGTTTTCAATTTCTATTTCAAAATTTAGTGCGCTCGTGTTGATATCAGTTATATTTACAGGGGTTTGAATATCCTGCATAAAGAAATTGTCTGGATCTTCCACTTTCATGTTGTTTATTGGAGTGCTAAACATGTCCTCATACTCATATGCTCCCTAAACGTTAGATCGTCGGACATCATTATTCCAAAATCCTTGACACGCCGTTTTCCTACTATGGGCAGATTCGATTGTGTTTTGTACACTTATGTTTCAGATACTCATTTTTGCCGTACCCGAGTACCTGAAATTTATCACTGTTAAACATAATGTTATCTGCTGCCCAACCGAAAACTTTGTTGACATCTGCTTGTAATTTTTCAATGTCTTCAGCAGAGGTAATTTGCATGCTGATTTTTGTGCCATCTGCAAAGGATGATGCGAAGCTGTGACTTGTATTTTTGTCTATATCTGATATGAGAATAAGGAACAGCAGTGGTGCAAGGACTGTACCTTGAGGTACAGAGCTTTTAACTGCGCTTGGACTCTATTTTATTCGATTGTTACTCTGTGTTCTGTTCGACAGGAAATTGAGTATCCAGCGTCCTACTTTACCAGTTATTCCCATTGACCTCATTTTGTGTGCGATCATTCCATGGTAACATTTGTCGAATGTCTTTGCAAAGTCTGTATATATACAACATCTGCATTTTGCTTTTCTTCTAAAGCTTCAGTGATTTTGTCAAAGTGGTTGGGTAACTTTGACAGACAGGATCTTCCCGCTCTAAATCCATGTTGTCCTGGGTTGTGTGACTCATTATTTTCCATAAAACTAGAATTTTGATTCCTCATCACTCTTTCAAAAACTTTTATTAGGTGTGATGTTAGTGCAACTGGCCTATAATTTTGCCGAGGCTTTACTACCCCCCCCCCCTTGTGCAGAGGAGCTATATCTGCCGATTTAAGTGCTGCTGGTATCTCCCCTGTCACCACCAGCTCCCTCCCTCCCTCACTCACTGCACCACCACCAGCTCCCTCCCTCCCTCACTGCACCACCACCAGCTCCCTCCCTCCCTCACTGCACCACCACCAGCTCCCTCCCTCCCTCACTGCACCACCACCAGCTCCCTCCCTCCCTCACTGCACCACCACCAGCTCCCTCACTGCACCACCAGCTCCCTCCCTCCCTCACTCCCTCACTCTGCACCACCAGCTCCCTCCCCCCCTCCCCAACCATTGATGCCTGAGTGGCGGTGACCCATGGTTCCTGAACCCCAGGGTGTGGGCAGGCAAGATAGCGGGCCCCGAGCCTGGGGTCGGGTAGGTTGCACACAGTAAAGGGATGGTTGGGTGGGTGTTCGGATCTCCACATTATGGCCTCGCCGCTCAATATGGCGGAGGTTGGTACCTGACCCGCCCCAGGAGAGGAGAGATGCTTGGCCGAACTGAGTCCAGTACAGACACAAGCCGACATTCTATTATATATATATATATATATATATTATATATATTATATATATATATATATATATATATATATATATATATATATATATATATATTTAGTTTACCACGTTCTTGTGAGAGAACAGACCCCCCCCCCCTCATCTAAAACAACGTCTTACCTTGAATATGTATATCCCTGAAGACCAGACTCTGGCCAGGGATTCGAACGCTGCTACACACATTCTGACGTTCGAATCCCAGCCCGGCCGACTTGGTTCCCGTTGTATGTGTCCAACAAGTTCCCTCTTCAACGCTGAACAACGGGCGACAGCCATGCCCCTTATATTTAAGAGTGAGGTGTGTCTACTGTCTTGGCCCCATAATGATTATGGAATAAGATGCTATTTCACACCCACTGCTACGCCCCCTGCTTTTTTAAGGAATTATTAAATGTGTAGATTTGGGACCTCTTGTTCTGGGCGTAAATTATGACGCAAGACACTCGTCTGCGCACCTGGGAATACAACTGTGATCTTTTATTGAATGAATGTGTCTGTAAAATTTATCTTCACGTTTTCCAGGTCTGAAACTTCTCCAGCAATTTCTCTTCTATTCATCATTTTCTCAGAGATGCACAGCCATTGAAAGATAATATAAATATAAATTGTATATTTTTTTTTTTTTTGAGATATATACAAGAGTTGTTACATTCTTGTACAGCCACTAGTACGCGTAGCGTTTCGGGCAAGTCCTTAATCCTATGGTCCCTGGAATACGATCCCCTGCCGCGAAGAATCGTTTTTTCATCCAAGTACACATTTTACTGTTGCGTTAAACAGAGGCTACAGTTAAGGAATTACGCCCAGTAAATCCTCCCCGGCCAGGATACGAACCCATGACATAGCGCTCGCGGAACGCCAGGCAAGTGTCTTACCACTACACCACGGAGACTGCGAATTTTATTCACAAATGATGATTTTATGATAATAAATTATATGATTTTATTCATAAATGCATGCAAAGTTTACAGAACGTCAAGTAATGGCCTCGTGGTACGCCCCTTGTACGTGGTACGCCCCATGTACGTGGTACGCCACATGTACGCCACTGGGTGGCCACACAATTTCGACTGGTCAGCAGAAATGACATGATGTTTAACAGTGATAAATTCCAGGTACTCAGGTACGGCAAAAATGAGGATCTTAAACATAATACAGGGTACAAAACACAATCAAATCTGCCCATAATAGGTAAACAACATGTAAAGGATTTGAGAATAATGATGTCCGACGACCTAACGTTTAGGGAGCATAACCAAGCAAATATTGCTTCAACTAGAACAATAGAGGACATTTATAAAGAAGCCGGAGATGAACTAGATCAAATCTACACTGACGGGTCATCTAATCCTATCAATGGCAGGGCTGGTGCAGCATACACGGTAATCAAGGATAACACCTTCCAACGCAGAAATGAAGAAAAAGCACGTATTGAGAACTATGCCTCTTCAACGCAAGCAGAGCTAACTGCCATTGTTATGGCGTTAAGGTTTCTTGAACGGAACACTAATGGTGCAGTGATTTGCACCGATTCAAAAGCAGCACTGCAAAGCCTAAGTAAAAATCAGGCAGAAAATCTTGCAATAGTCGCTGAAATCAAGAGAGCTGTGAGAGTACTTACCAATCAGGGAAGAGTCATCAAGTTTCTGTGGATCCCCTCCCATGTTGGAATATGTGGGAATGAACGAGCAGATGTGCTGGCTGCTGAAGGCGCTGAAGGAGACCATATTGAATACTTCATACCCAAGACTCTACTACAAATTAGAGGTATTATCAGGCAACATCACCGTGACAAGGTAACTGAGGAAAGGAGGATAGAAGCACAAACCAGTGAATCTGTACGATGGTACAACATGGTTGCAGCTGGCAATCCCAATCAGTATGGCCGAAGAGGAGGACGACGAGTGAGAGAATCTGTAATAGCGAGAATCCGTCTTGGATACAAATATCCATGGAGATTTGGAATGGAAACAACAGTTGATCAGCGAAGTTGCAGAATCTGTGGTGAGAGTGATGGACACCGCCTTGACCACTATCTACGTGAATGTGAACACCTGAGAGACATTAGGAATAACTGTAGAATAATAAACCCCACATTGTTTGAGTTAGGAAAACACTATTTGTCAAATATTGATACTGTTCTTAAAAGATTTCCCCATTTTGCACCCGCAAGATAACGTAAGCTTTTAAGGGTTGATAAATGTTAATCTTCTTGTTTGAGGAGCTGTTCACTTGAGACAGTTAAGCAAGTCCCAGCTGTGTCTGGGTACAAGTGACAGGATGAACAACCCAGCGGGTTTTCTTCCTATTGGGGAGTGTTGTACATTCTGCTATGGCGGTATGTTCACTCACAAGATGAGTGGCGCTGCCCAATAAACTCGCCCCTCGGGGCAAAATTTAAAAATTTAGAACAATTATAGGATGGATTACGAGAACTTTCAAATCCAGGGATCCCATCACAATGGTTGTACTCTTCAAGTCACTTGTGTTGTCCCGGCTTGAGTACTGCTCAGTACTCACTTCCCCCTTAAGAGCAGGAGAGATTGCTGAAAGAGGGAATTCAGAATACAGAGAACATATACGGCATACATAGACAATACATAGACAGGTCAGCAGTATTACATGACGATTTAAATTTATATAAATTGCAACTATAAAACTAAAGGCATCTCTTACTGAATGACTAATATATTGCAAATACTGGACACAAGATCTCAAACTAAAGTTTAAAGCAGGATTATGAACTCCCAGCCAACAGTTTCTGGGTTCTCGGCACAACGGCGGGCAGCGAGGCCAGAGGCCACGCCTGTACGCCGCGAGACCAGAGGCCACGCCAGTACGCCGCGAGACCAGAGGCCACGCCAGTACGCCGCGAGACCAGAGGCCACGCCAGTACGCCGCGAGACCAGAGGCCACGCCTGTACGCCGCGAGACCAGAGGCCACGCAAGTACGCCGCGAGACCAGAGGCCACGCCAGTACGCCGCGAGACCAGAGGCCACGCCAGTACGGCCGCGAGACCAGAGGCCACGCCTGTACGCCGCGAGACCAGAGGCCACGCCTGTACGCCGCGAGACCAGAAGCCACGCCTGTACGCCGCGAGACCAGAGGCCACGCCTGTACGCCGCGAGACCAGAAGCCACGCCTGTACGCCGCGAGACCAGAGGCCACGCCTGTACGCCGCGAGACCAGAGGCCACGCCTGTACGCCGCGAGACGAGAGGCCACGCCTGTACGCCGCGAGACCAGAGGCCACGCCTGTACGCCGCGAGGCCAGAGGCCACGCCAGTACGCCGCGAGACCAGAGGCCACGCCTGTACGCCGCGAGACCAGAAGCCACGCCAGTACGCCGCGAGACCAGAGGCCACGCCTGTACGCCGCGAGACCAGAGGCCACGCCTGTACACCGCGAGACCAGAGGCCACGCCAGTACGCCGCGAGACCAGAGGCCACGCCTGTACGCCGCGAGACCAGAGGCCACGCCTGTACGCCGCGAGACCAGAGGCCACGCCAGTACGCCGCGAGACCAGAGGCCACGCCTGTACGCGGCGAGACCAGAGGCCACGCCTGTACGCCGCGAGACCAGAGGCCACGCCAGTACGCCGCGAGACCAGAGGCCACGCCTGTACGCCGCGAGACCAGAGGCCACGCCAGTACGCCGCGAGAGGGTATGAGCGAGGCCCCCCCCCCCCCCGTGGGGTGGTGGTGAGAGGCAGAGGGTCCGGTAAGAGCTCCCTGGCGGCTGCCCGCGTGTACCCTCCCAACGGGTCCGGTAAGAGCTCCCTGGCGGCTGCCCGCGTGTACCTCCCAACGGGTCCGGTAAGAGCTCCCTGGCGGCTGCCCGCGTGTACCCTCCCAACGGGTCCGGTAAGAGCTCCCTGGCGGCTGCCCGCGTGTACCCTCCCAACGGGTCCGGTAAGAGCTCCCTGGCGGCTGCCCGCGTGTACCCTCCCAACGGGTCCGGTAAGAGCTCCCTGGCGGCTGCCCGCGTGTACCCTCCCAACGGGTCCGGTAAGAGCTCCCTGGCGGCTGCCCGCGTGTACCCTCCCAACGGGTCCGGTAAGAGCTCCCTGGCGGCTGCCCGCGTGTACCCTCCCAACGGGTTTTTGTTCCCACGGGACCTGGTGAACCACCACACTCCCCCCCCCCCTCACCCCCCACCACCACGTAAACAACACAGCCTCGCCGTCACTGTTATCTTCTATGATGGCTTCTGGTCAATATATATAAAGTTGTTATACGTATATAATAATCAATAATAATTTTATGTCGTGGGGGACAAGCAGCCATTGTATATATACGTGTTAGGCTTATATCTACACTCTCAGGATGCAACTCCGCAACAAGCTGGGTACATATTTAATGTTACGTGAACAGGTACGTTAGGACATGGGATATGCGCCCACCCATTGCTGTCCCGCCCGGGATTCGAACCCAGAATTTCCGATTGAGAGTCGAGAACGAACCTGATTGACGCCGTGACCCATCTATTTTCCGGGTTACATTATTCGCCTTGACCTTCTTGAGGTTATCTTGAGATGATTTGGGGCTTTAGTGTCCCCGCGGCCCGGTCCTCGACCAGGCCTCCACCCCCAGGAAGCAGCCCGTGACAGCTGACTAACTCCCAGGTACCTATTTAATGCTAGGTAACAGGGGCATTCAGGGTGAAAGAAACTTTGCCCATTTGTTTCTGCCTCGTGCGGGAATCGAACCCGCGCCACAGAATTACGAGTCCTGCGCGCTATCCACCAGGCTACGAGGCCCCCCTTGCAGCATTAGTTATACAGGTGGGCAGAGACCTCGTGGCCCAACACGACCAATGGTCCTCAAGGCTGGGAGACTTGTCCTCTGGCCAGACGATGGTCTTCACAGGCACACCACAGGTAATCCCTCACGATATTACCGGAGCACGTGAGGAAAGTCTTCCTCGGAATATGTTCCCTGAAATCAGTGTATAAGCTGAAGTCTCAGCGATATGCCTACTTATACAAGACTTAGTGTAAACCACAAATGTCACGTAAAGCTACATTACCTTGAGGTTACCTTGAGATGATTTTGAGCCTTAGCGTCCCCGCGGCCCGGTCGTCGACCAGGCCTCCTGGTTGCTGGACTGATCAACCAGGCTGTTGGACGCGGCTGCTCGCAGCCTGACGTATGAGTCACAGCCTGGTTGATCAGGCATCCTTTGGAGGTGCTTACCAGTTCTCTCTTGAACACTGTGAGGAGTCGGCCAGTTATGCCCCTTATGTGTAGTGGAAGCGTGTTGAACAGTCTCGGGCCTCTGATGTTGATAGTTCTCTCTCAGAGTACCTGTTGCACCTCTGCTCTTCAACGGGGGTATTCTGCACATCCTGCCATGTCTTCTGGTCTCATGTGGTGTTATTTCTGTGTGCAGGTTTGGGACCAGCCCCTCTAATATTTTCCATGTGTAAATTATTATGTATCTCTCCCGCCTGCGCTCAAGGAAATACAGATTTAGGCTCTTTAGTCGGTCCCAATAGTTCAGATGTTTTATTGAGTGGATTTCGGCGTTCGTTGTTCCCTATAGAAGGAAGGTCGTTCCTTCTATAGGCGAAGAAAACGAATCGCGGGACGGGAATCTCAAGAATAACCAAGGCTAGAGAACAAGAAACAATTGAACTAAAGCTACAAGAATCATACAAAATCCAGGAGACGAAGAGAGCAAAAGGTCATCAGTGGAAAAAAAAGATATCCGAAATATTTTTCCTACTATTTCCTACTCCTACTACTATTGGGGGAGCTGGTCGGCCGAGCGGACAGCACACTGGACTTGTGATCCTGTGGTCCCGGGTTCGATCCCGGGCGCCAGCGAGAAACAATGGGCAGAGTTTCTTTCACCCTATGCCCCTGTTACCTAGCAGTAAATAGGTACCTGAGTGTTAGTCAGCTGTCACGGGCTGTTTCCTGGGGGTGGAGGCCTGGTCGAGGACCGGGCCGCGGGGACACTAAAGACCCGAAATCATCTCAAGATAACCTCTCAAGATAACCCGAAATCATCTCAAGATAACCTCAAGATACTATGCTAAATCAAGGTTGTAAAAACTACATCTAGTACCGGACCACTGCGAAAAGGAGATGGAACCTTCAAAGATGACAACAAAGAAATGAGGGAAATACTGAGGAATCAGTACGACTGTTTCCAGCGAGCCACTAAACACTGGGAGGTCATCTACTTTACCTGAAGATTTATAATCCTAATTAATTTTTCATGGATATGATACCAACATCAAATCATATATCAGACGTCACCCTATCCACACTGGATTTTGAAGAAGCCATAAACAGTATGCCTATGCACTCTACACCAGGCCCGGATTCTTGGAACTCCTTATTCATCAAGAACTGTAAAAAAAACACTATCGCAGGCCCTTCACATTCTGTGGAGACAAAGCCTAGATACTGGCGTTATCCCTGACATACTAAAAACAGCAGAGATAGCACCAACTCCATAAAGGAGGAAATAAAGCAGAGGCAAAAAATTACAGACCGATAGCACTAACATCGCACATCATAAAAATCTTTGAGAGAGTGCTAAGAAGTAAGATCACAAAATACATGGAATCACAGCATCTCCATAACCCCGGACAATATGGTTTCAGAACAGGGCGCTCTTGCCTGTCGCAGTTGCTGGACCACTATGATATGGCATTAGATGCTATGGAAGACAAACAAAACGCTGATGTAATTTACACAGATTTCCAGAAAGCTTTGGATAAATGTGACCAGGCGCCCAGTTGTCTGGGCGCCTGACAGCTGAATTGACAGCGCTTCGGATTCGTAGTCCTGAAGTTCCGAGTTCGATCCCCGGTGGAGGTGGAGACAAATGGGCAAAATGTTTCTTTTATCCTGATGCCCCTGTTACCTAGCAGAAAATATGTACCCGAGAGTTAGACAGCTGCTACGGGCTGCTTCCTGGAGGAAGGGGTGTGTAACAAAAAGGAGGCCTGGTCGAGGACCGGGCCGCGGGGACGCAAAGCCCCGAAATCATTTCAAGATAACCTCAAAAAGATGTTACTTCACACAAAATGCGTTCAAAAGAATTGCCGAAAAAATCAGGCATATGGATCTATAAATTCCTGATTAACAGAACCAAATTTGTAAGTCAACAAAATAAAATCCAGCCCATCAACCGTAAAGAGCTCAGTCCCCCAGGGTACTGTGCTTGCTTCAGTACTTTTTCTCATCCTCATATCGGACATAGACAAGGACACAAGTTATAGTACTGTATCATCCTCTGCAGATGACACTAGGATTTTTATGAGAGTTGGTACTGCAAACCACCAATCAGATGAAAATCATGTCTTTCAATGGGCTACAGAAAATAATATGGTGTTTAACGAGGATAAGTTCCAGCTCATGCGCTGCGCAAAAAAAATGAAAATATATAAACGGAAACCACGTACAAAACGCAGTCAAATCATAACATAGAACATAAAGGCAATGTAAAGGACCTGGGTGTACTCATGTCGAAGACCTTACGTTTAAAGAACACAATAAAGTAGCCGTCACAACTGCAAGAAAAATGACAGGTTGGATAACAAGAACCTTTCACACTAGAGATGCTATACCGATGACGATAATTTGGAAAACGCTAATGCTCTCTAGAGTGGAGTACTGCTGCACAATGACAGCCCCTTTCAAAGCTGGAGAAATTGCTGACCTGGAGAGCGTGCAGAGATCCTTTACTGCTAGAATCCACTCAGTAAAACATCTAAACTATTGGGACCGACTAAAGAGCTTAGATCTGTATTCTCTTGAGCGCAGGCGGGAGAGATACATAATAATTTACACGTGGAAAATAGTAGAGGGGCTGGTCCCAAACCTGCACACAGAAATAACATCACATGAGACCAGAAGACACGGCAGGATGTGCAGAATACCCCCGTTGAAGAGCAGAGGTGCAACAGGTACTCTGAGAGAGAACTATCAACATCAGAGGCCCGAGACTGTTCAACACGCTTCCACTACACATAAGGGGCATAACTGGCCGACCCCTCACAGTGTCAAGAGAGAACACGGGGGGCGGACAGAGAGACACGGGGGGGGGGGGGCGGACAGAGACAAGGGGGGGGGGGGGAGCGGACAGAGACACACGGGGGGGCGGACAGAGAGACACGGGGGGGCGGACAGAGAGACACTGGGGGGCGGACCAGAGAGACACTGGGGGGCGGACGGACAGAGAGACACGGGGGGCGGACAGACACTGGGGGGCGGAGAGAGACATGGGGGGGCGGACAGAGAGACACTGGGGGGCGGGACAGAGAGACACGGGGGGCGGACAGAGAGACGGGGGGGGGCGGACATTGAGACACGGGGGGGACAGAGAGGACACGGGGGGCGGACAGAGACACGGGGGGGGGGCGGACAGAGAGACACGGGGGGACAGAGGGGGGGGCAGGACAGAGAGACACGGGGGGGGAGAGACACGGGGGGCGGACAGAGACACGGAGAGACACGGGGGGCGGACAGAGAGACACGGGGGGCGGAGGACAGAGACACCGGGGCGGACAGAGACACGGGACAGATAGACAGAGAGGAGAGACATCAAAATAATTATTACTTCTCTCCTTAGGAGTTTCAAAGACGGGGAAAAATTCTAAATAAAATTACAAATTCAAAAGTTGGTAATGTGAGCCCCGAGGTGAGTGAGCGCCAGGTGGCAGCTCCTGGATTACCTCCCTCTCAGTGATGCTTCTGACCACTAACTGATAGGCGTTATGGCCGAGCCTCCATACTGGGTAACCATGTAACAGGGAGGGGGGAGGGGAAATAGCTCTCTCTTGTCCATTATTCCAACCACCCCCCAGTTAACTAACGAGGCCGGGGAAAACAGCTCTCTCTAGTCCGTTATCCCGTCCTCAGTTAGCTAACTATTCTAGAGCACCTCCAGACTTTCTACGGCAGCCTCTCTCGTTCAACACCTTGTAACCTAGGTATTTGACTACCTAGGTGCTAAGACTACAAGGCGTCGTAACTTGATCAACTACCCGAAACTCTAGAGAGAACTCTAGAACACATTTCACTGCCACAAACGTATA